GTTCTACCTAACCTCTGTTCCAACTGGTTCAGAGTTTCTATTTTAATATTTAGATCTTTAATCCATTTCGATTTTAGTTTAGTGCATGGATTGTTTTCTCAAGGTCTGTGAAGTATTCTGTTGGAATTTCAATTGAGATTGCACTGAATCCATACAGCAGTTTTGGAAGGTCATTTTCACTATATCGGTTCTTCCTACCCAGGAGCAAGGTATGTCTTTCCATTTTCTGATATCCTCTTCTATTTCTTTTTTTCAGAGTGCTACAGTTTTCAGAGGAGAGGCCTTTATTTCTTTCATTAGGTTAACTCCCAGGTATTTCATTTTTTGGGATGCTATTGTGAAAGGAGTTGTTTTTCCAGTTCCTCTCTCACTGAGTTTGTTGTTTGTGTACAGGAAGGCTAATGATTTTTGTGTGTTAACCTTGTATCCAGGTACTGTACTGAATTTGGTTATCAAGTCTAGAAGACTTGTAGTGGAGTTGTTGGAGTCTTCTATGTAGAGTAACATGTCATCTGCAAATAATGACAATTTAACATCTTCGTTTCCTATCTTTATTCCTTTTTTTTCTCTTGTTTAATTGCTGCGGCTAATGTTCCCAGAACTATATTGAACAGGAGTGGTGATAGTGGACATCCTTGTCTTGTTTTGACCATTTAGTATGACGTTGGCTATTGGTTTTTCATAGATGGCTTTTATCAGTTTGAGATAAAGATTATCTATTCCAATCTCTTGTAGGGTCTTTATTATGAATGGGTGTTGGATTTTGTCAAATGAATTTTCTGCATCTATTGAGATGATCATATGGTTTTTGTTCTTGGCTCTGTTAATACAGTGTATTACATTTATTGATTTGCATATGTTGAACCATCCCTGCACCCCTGGGATGAATCCTACTTGGTCAGAGTATATGACCTTCTATCATAAGGCAGTTCCTCCAGATAAACTTTTCAATTGTCCTTATGTAAAGTACTTGATTTCCTTTTAATGCCAATCTTTTTAGGAACCACATTCTCCTTTGTTTGAACTTTATGAGACCTTCCTTTCTAGCAAGGCCTTACATTATTTGCCTCTGCTTTTTGTTCCTGATTTTCACTATCAATCCACCTGAAAGCAGCCAGAAAAGTACCCATGCCACAACCAGAACACTGGGCTGCCTTGTAATTTACTCTGCTAGATTAGTCTATCACCCTTAATCTCAGTCTCCAGTAAAGTCTCAGTACATAGGCAAAATGAAGGCAAATTTTCCACCTGAGTGTAACACACATGGCCTCTAGTTCAATGGAGCAATTTCCTGAGCCTGAGCTTAACTGTCTGCATTCCTATCAACATTCTGGTCTTCTGAACTCTGACTAGAATCACACATCAGGTTCTGCCTACAGAATTGTAAGACTTTTCTAGCCTGTATCTCCAAACTTCCAAACTCCTTCTACAAACCAGTTCCAAAAGCCTCTAAACCACATGGGCAGGTACAGTCTTATCAATGACTCCATCCCTGTTACTGACTTTCTGTATTATCCAGCTTTCCATAAGTGAGACAAAATATCTGACACCCACAACTTAAAAGAGGAGAGGTTTATTTTGCCTAATAGTTTCAATGGGTTTAGACCATAGTTGGCTGGCTCCAACAGAGAAGCCACATGCTAGAAGGGGAAAACAGAGGAAAAGGGCTCACCTCATGGAAGCCAGTTCTAGGTCATAGTCCCAGTGAACCACCTCTTCTGACCAGGCCTCACCTCCAAACAGCATAGTCAGCTATGAACTTATCAATGGACTAATCCACCAATGAGCATCATGCTCCTTTTTGCCTTTGAAAAATCCCACCTCTGAACACAAGACTCTTGGGGGACATTTTAAGTCTAAACCACAAAAGTAAAATTTTGAAATTTTATCCTATCTATATTTGTGACTAATCAAGGAACTCTTACCATTTCTCAATTCATTATCTGACTTCTGTGTCCCTCTATTCTACATAATCTCCCAAACTGAACATAGGAAAGCAAAACAAATTAAAATATCAAAGCCTAAACTTCATTTGTATATAATTATGAAAGAATTAATATTTCATTTTTAACTTTAAGGGTTTTAATATCAATACCTAAACCACTGCTTTAATGTTTATTTCAAACTTTTCATTTTCCCTGAGTCCCTCACTTTGAAGAGTCCTTGATTTTTTTAACCCAAGCTGAACCCAGGTACCTCACACTGAGCTACACCACCAGCTCTTTTTATTTTTTATTTTGAGGCAGGGCCTAGCTAAGTCAGCAAAGTTGCTCAGACCAGGCTTGAACTTGTCATTCCTCTACTTCAGCCTCCTGAGTGCTGAACAGTACAACACCATCCCTAGCTGTAAATGCTTTCTAGTCGTTCAACTTCCTCCTCATTCTTGTCATTTGTTGACCCAATCTTCTCTATCTTTTTCCTGTTTTAAACTTCCATTTTCCATTTCTATTTTGGTGATTACCCTTATATAAATGTATATAAATTTACATTTTTCCAGTAATGTACAGAGCTGGTCAGTATTCATACCTTCTCCCTACCTTCATCTCCCTCCACCAAAACCAGCAACCTTTTTGTTTTCCTCACTTTTCTCCCCTCATCCTATTTTTTATGTCTTTTATGAGTACATATTAGTTATACAGATTAATGGATTTCAGTTTGGCAGATCTGTATACGCATATAACACACTTTGATCATTTTCACAGTCACTTCCTTGCCCATTTCCCAAGTCTCACATTTGAGGGGAAGCTTTTGATGTGTATATTTAAATCATATCTATCCCCCATTACCTATTCTTATGTCATCCTTTCCCTCATTCCCTTCCTCTTGTCTAACAGGCTCCCATCTACTTTCATTTTCATATAGACTCCATGTATTAGAGAGAACGTGTGATATTTGTCTTTCTGAGTCCGGCTCATTTTGCTCAACATGATCATCTCCAGATCCATCCATTTTCCTGCAAATGGCAAAATTTCATTCTTCTTTATGGATGAATAATACTTCATTATGTACATAACATTTTCTTTATTCATTCATTTGCTGATGGGCACCTAAGATAGTTCCATATCTTGGCAATTATGAATTGTACTTCAATAAAATGGGTATGAAGATATCCCTACAGTATGGTGACTTTAACTCCTTTAGGTATATACCAAGGAGTAGTATAGCTTGATCAAATGATAGCTCTATTTTTAGTTTGTTTGGGTTTTTTTAGGAACTTCCATTCTGAATTCCACAGTAGCTGTATTAGTTTACATTTCCATCTGTAGTATAGAAGGCTTCCTTTTTCCCTTCATCCTGACCAGTATTTATTGATTTTTGTATTTTTAATAATAGCCATTCTGACTGGGATGAGATGGAATTGTCAGTGTAGTTTTGATCTGCATTTCCCTAATGGGCAAAGATGTTGAATACTTTTTGGTATACTTATTGGCCATTTGTACTTCTTTTGAGAAGTGTCTGTTCTACTCATTTGCCCATTTATTGATTAAACTATTTGATTTTTTTCTGGTGTTAAGGTGTTTTTTTTTGGTACCGGGGATCAAACTCGGGTCCTTGCGCTTGCGTAGCAGGTGGTGAAACCACTGAGCTAAATCCCTGGCCCTCTTAAGGTTTTTTTTAGTTCTTTATTCTAGAGATTAATCCTCTGTTCTTGCTGGAAAATATTTTTTTCTCATTCTATAGGCTCTCTTCACTCTATTAGTTGTTTTTCTTGCTATGCAAAGATTTTTTAATTTGATATAGTCCCATTTGTTGATTCTTATTATTTCCTGTGCCACTGGAGTCATATTCAGGAAATCTTTGGCAGTTCCTATAGCTTCCAGTCTACCACGTATTTTTTTTAGTAGTTTCAAAGTTTCAGGGCTTATACTTAGGTCTTTGATTCATTTTGAATTTATTTTTTGCACAGGGTAAGAGATATACTCTCATCTCATACTGAAATCACTTAAAATTTTAGCACTAGATTTTAATTTCTACAGTTAATAGATTTGTTTCATTAATTACTTTAGCTACACCTACCCTGTATCTGTCTTAATTAACCACCAATTAGTAGAAAGACAATTATATTTTTTATTGAGGATTTCCTCCTGGACTGTTTCATGAAAAATAGGGAGGAAAAAAAGACGTGTGACATCAGCAGTTAACTTTCTGAGTGTTATGTTCCTTGTTCTTCACAGGCATCAAGAACTGCCCAGGGTGCCAGTTTGTCTCTCTCACCAAACCTCCCACATTCACTTCTACCTGGAGACAGCCAACCCATTGCTGATGCCTGGCCAAAGACAAAGTCCAACTCCCACTAGGGTAACCCCACCAATTACCCTATTCATTGCTCCTGGGCCTTTACTTTGTGGAACAGTGTTCTCTTATACATGTCCACAACTATAATTTATTCCAATCCTCTTTTCCTGCTTCAGGGATTTATCGTAAGTTTTGGTCTACGAGATACAAGGCTTGATATTTTTAAACATCTTTTCTATTATTTTTAAGGGTAAGGAAGCATGTTTCAGTATAAATTCTGAATGCCATATTAAAACTCCTTTAAATTTCTTCAGAGCCTTGGGTTGTACTAATGGCTAATTTAACATATTTATAACACACACACACACACCTTGGGTCCTAAGTGTAATAGTTATCTCATTTAATGTAAGCATCCATTTGATTTATACTATTAAAAAATAAATACCTGTGTATTATTTTCTTTTTGTCTAAAGTCCATTGTAGCAAGCTTTGACTGCTTCACAGAACTTTCTGCTCTTTTATCTAGATTATTAAATAGTACTTCAAGTTAGTTATGAAAACAGAATCAGACATCATCTCAAACTTTTTTTTCTGCTAGAACTGAAACTAGGACCTCACACATGCAATTTGAGCTCTACATCCCTGGCCTTCCTCTCCAACATTTAACCTAAACTTCTAATTCAGAAAATCATAAGTCTACATTAACATTGAATTTTAAAATAAAATACAGAATTATGAAATTATTTTGAAACTCTTAATTCATCACTATATATTAGTTATTACAGTAACTGTGAACATGAAATGACAAAATGGCCAACAGATAAAACTACCCTTTTATAATGTATAACCAAAGTAAACACAATGGTGATACAAATAATGAGGGAAAAACAATCAATGTAGTCAATGTGATACAGTGTAGATAATCCAATCTGCAGACCCATTGAACAATATCTTACACATCTCAGTAACAAATGACAAAAACATAAGTTTCCTACTCACTTAAATCATACATACTGATACTACAACTCCCAAAATGAAAACTATGTAATTATCCATCCTGTCTGATAGCTCTGTGTTCATACCAGAACACTTCTTTAAAATATATCATGTGAATGTTTTCTTTCTCAAAGAGAAAAAAAAGTATAGAAAACATATTGTTTGCTCTCAGAAAGATTCAAAATGGTACCTTCCTAAGTCTCTAGGTCTAGAGTATTGTTTGTTCTTGCTTACACCAAATGATAAATAAAATTAAAATTATTTCCTTTTATTTTTGTGTTTGTACATAAAAACATTTTTGAATAATAATTCCATACCTGTAACTTTTGGTTCTGATGACTGCATCTTTATTGGTCTTACTAATTTCTGAGATTCATATGGCAGATATAATTGACTGCTTTGAGGAGTTTCACTGAATATATGCTCATCTTTTTCAAAAATTCTAAAGAGAAGAATAAAGTCAATATTAGCTAAGTAAAAATTAAAATTTTAAAGCTAGAAGGGATATTTAGATAATACATGTATACAGTTAAAATCCTTCATTTTGCAGGTAATGAAACTGAGTTCCAGAGAATTTAACAGACTTGACCAATATTACTAAATTACTTGGTAGTCATGTCAGAGCTAAAATACACTTTTCCTGATCAAGTCCAATGCTCTGCTCAGTATACCACACTTTTATTTTTAAAACAATCATTTTTTAAGGACTTTTTAAACAGATCAAAAACATTTTAAGCCAGGCATGGTGGCGCATACCTGCAATCCCAGCACTTGGGACACTGAGGCAGGAGGATTGTCATGAGTTCAAGTTCAGCCTGGGCTACATAGTGAGTTCAAGGGCAACCTGAACTATAAAGCAAGACCCTGTCTCAAAAAAAATTTTTTTAATCAAAGCTTTAACCTCAAATAACATGTTTTAGATTTCAGAGTACATTAAGCTTTAAAAACTTAGAAAAAATTCAACTAGTACAAATATAGAAATCATTAAAGCAATGTACCTATCTTTTAAATTTTTTATTGAAAGAATAATTTCATTGAGTTTTTTCTAAATCAAAGAACTAGAATAAACACTATAAAATACATTAGTCTCTCCTCCTCAGCAGGTTATATGTCCTTAGCAGATACCTGAAACCATGTATAGCACCAAACAATAAATATATTATGCTTTTTCCTACACATACAAAATTTTTTTTTTAAACATCTTTTTGTTGTTGTTGTTGTTACCGGGGATCGAACTCAGGTCCTTGACTTATAAGGCAGGCGGCGGAACCACTGAGCTAAATCCCCGGCCCTACATACGAAAATTTGATGCCTTTTCCATCTTAATTAAGGACTTAGGATACATTGTGACTATAACTTTTGCAGTGTGAAGAGCGACAGCAAAACTAGCAAAAATTTCTTTTTCTTTCACAAGTTCATGGACACAGATTCATTCTTATTACAGATCTTAGCAACCTAAGCATATGATGGTTTTGTTTCCTTAAGTTGAGACTTTTCACTTAAAGAAAGTACTTTACAGCTTTTCACTGACATATACAAATTTCTAGTATCACTACTCTTTGCATTTTGGGGGCATTTTTAAGTAAAATAAGTGTTACTTTGATACAAGCACTATTTTAGTATATGTGCTGCCAAAGCAAGCACTGATACAAACACTATGATACCACAACAGTCAATCAGATAACTGACATGACTACTAATAGGCAGGTAGTATATTGAGGCTAGATACACCAGACAAAGGGATGATTCATATCCCAGGTGGTGACAGAATAGGATGGCATGAGATTGTATCACATTACTCAGAATAATGTGCAGTTTAAATGTTGACTTCTGGATTTTTTTTCATTTAATATTTTTGGACCATGGTTGACCATAGATAACTGAAACTATAGAAAGCAAAACCATGGATGAAGGGGAGCCACTGTATACACTGAGTTAAAAGTGATTTAGTATTTATGTAAGTCCCATTCAATATATAAAATTTTTGTATTAAAGCACTGTTAAGCCAGGTGTGGTGCTGCACAAATCCGAGCACTTAGGAAGTTGAGGCAGGAGGACTGCTGCAAGTTGAAGGGCAGCCTGGGCTGCACAGCAAGATCTTTGAGATGAGAGAGAGAGAGAGAGAGAGAGAGAGAGAGAGAGAGAGACAGCAGACAGAGAGAGAGACAGCAGACAGACAGACAGGAAGGAAAGAAGGAAGAAAGGAAGGAATAAAGGAAGGAAGGATGGAAGGAAGGAAGGAAGGTTGGTTGGTTTGCCTATTTTTTCAATTATAAAATTAAGGACATGCTGCCATTGATGTGACATGTAGAAGTGGGAGGATCAAGAAAATAAGAGATACTGGGTCTGGAGGCTGTAGCTCAGTGGTAAAGTGAATGTTTAGCACGCATGAGATCCTGGATTCAATCCCCAGCATGGCTGAAGGACGGGAGAATAACAGATCCAAGGAGGTTTGATTAGGGAAATTAACACAGGAGTGTGTTGAAAATTCGAAGAAGAAAATGGAAACTGAGGAATGAAATTTAAGAACAAAAGGGAGTGGTATAGGTACAAAGAAAAAAAGAGAAAGTTGATCAGAAACAATAACAGTAATAACATCCATTTTTCTTCAAATAATAGTAGACAAAATCAGGTTTTTTTCTTAATGCCTCTATCACTGATGTCTGTATTCTCACCATTGGGATAAAAGACAATAAAATATATGATGCAACAGATCTCGTAGCAGTTTTGGGCTCATCTTCACTCTTAATGGTAAGGGAAGAAATAGTCAAGCTGCTATCAGGGTGATAAAAATGTAGATACATTACTGTTCCCACCACTGCCTCTCCTGTTTTACTTCAATTGCTGACCTACCATAGAAAAGTGGGTAAATTATATGACTGACAAGTTACAGAACAGAAGATGTGCTTCTGCTACCCTATTCTCTCTATACAATATTCTTGGCCTTAGTAAATAATAAGCAGATGTAAAAAGTATGTAAGTTAATATATTTCATAAGATACTAATAGAGTTTGCCCAAAAACTTATATTAGGATGAACACAGAATTAAACTTATAGATGCAGAATATCTATTCACATAAAATCCAATTTTAAAGTTTACTTATACCTTTCTTTCAATTCCTTTCTCTTTTCTGTATTTTTGTGGTTTTCTTCCGGAGTTTCTGAAAGATTTTTACTCTCATAAAGTCTTATAATCTAAAAAGAAAAAAGAGAAAGCAAAGCAAAATAATTACATGAAAAGTAGAACACAAAATTTGTATTTTTGGTAGTATTCACTTTTATTGAAAATGGCTAAAAGTAAAAATTAACCCTAATTCACACCCTTTCAACTTTTCTTTACTCCTAACTCAGCAAATGTAAATTTCAATAAACTCCACCCCCCAGAAAAGAATAAAAACAGTCACAAGGTAAACACTGTTTCCTGACATAGGGATATAGTTACTATAAAGAAAATAGCATCCATTTCTGTGTCATTACTAAAATTGTGTTACCACTATTTGGTGCCTCGTAACTATAAATGATATATACTCTTTAACATAATTTTTAAACAAATTAGAAAATTAGGCATCATATTTAATTTTTCCTCAAAATCTGCAAGTGACTTTAATATGTTCTTGTACCTATGTGAACTAAAGTCATAAGTCAACAGATAATCCTAAAAATATATTTAAGAAAATCTTAAAAGCTAAGCTATTTCTAGCCTAATTCTCTAAAAATTACAAGCCATAGCCACAAATTTTCAATAGTAAATTCTTTAGACTATTATCCTGGTCCCTTTTTTTGAAAATACTGTTGCTCTTTTAATGCCTTAAAATTCCTGTTATGGGGATAGGGGATAACTCTGTGGTAAACAGCTTGGCTAACATGAGTGAAGGCCTCAGTTTGATCCACTACATCATAAATTAGAGAAGTAAATAAATTCCTTTTACTAAGCTACATCTTTTTCTTTGCTTGTTTCTTTCCTCAGACCCCTGAAAAAGCCAACTCTTACCCAAAACTCAGAGTTAAATCTATTCAGTATCTGAAATACATTTTGGCTTCAACAGTAATCAGAGGCAAATAAATTAGCCTTTCTCCATATACAGGTTTTCTTAAAAATGGCTCTTCTAAGACTATTAACATACTATTACATTAATACTTATACAGTATTAGAAATACATAACAAATACATACCTTGTTTAAATAATTAATTTCTATTTCTGCTTCATTTATTGCTTTCTTCAACTGAGATGAATTTTTCGTAAAATTGTTGGCATGTTTAAGAATTTCTTCTGTTTTAAATCTCAAATTAACTCTTTTTTATGCTAAGGAACTATGTCATACAACTAAATTTTACATTTATAATACATGTACTATATCATAGTTTATGATACATAACTTTATATGCATCTTCCTTATAAGCAAAAAACATTAATAGCAGTATCTGAAAACAGAGGTAAAACTAATATAAATATTTAGCAGACTAACAAAGATAATTGTTATATATTGAACTTAAAAAGATTGCATTGAAAAAATGTTAGAATGACTTTCTTTTCATTAAATATTTTCACAAAGTGGTATTTTACTTTTTTTTCACGCAAGTTTATTGTGTCATTTGCCATGACTAATGAAATATAATCAATATGCTTCCTTTTTTTTTTCTAAAATCAACATAAAAGTCCATCCAATTTCCCTTTTCTTGCTGCATAATGTTCATCAACACAGAACTTAGAAAAGCGTCCATCTGGACTTTCTGCTTGAAGTAGATTTATACTCAATTTCAAGTATAGAACTTCTCAACTATTAATAGTTAATATTAATAGCTACATTGTTATCAGCTAATAAAATTTCCTAAATTACTATAATCCACTTAGGAGAATTTAAAAATGAATAGAATAATAATTAACAAGAACACCAAAGAAAATTTATCAGACCTTTCCTATCCTGACTTTAAAAATGATTTATATGCTAGAACACAAAATTTGAAATGAATATAATTTGTAAGGCTATGTTATTACCAAAAGTATCAATTTAAAATTTTAGATATAGATCTTTAAATCTTAATATTTAATTCTTCCTACCTCCATCTACCACTTCTTGTTTGTCATGAAACTTTAATCTCAACTCACATGCAAGTCCCAAACCCTGGGCTGTACCTTCAGCCATCTATCCATCTCTGCCCCTTCCCACTAAGCCAGTGGTGGCAAACTTATGGTAGGCACACAAAGCCCTCTCTGTCAGCACACAGCCAAGTTGCTCCAGCAGCCAAGCATCGTTACAGTTGTTGTTTTCTAAACTAAAACCTCTATATTCAGGCTTAATTGCAATGTTGGCATTTCATTATAAATAACTGGGTTTTGGGTTGTAGTTTGAGCACTCGGTCTCTAAAAGGTTCACCATCACTGCACTAAGCAATTAATACACAGATAAGCAGCAAATGAACAACTAAAGACATAATAGGCTAAAATCAAAATGGGAAAAGAGTGGGCCGGGGATTTAGCTCAGTGGCGCTGTTGCCTGCCTCGCAATCGCAAGGTCCTGAGGTCGAACCCCGGTACAAAAAAAAAAAAAAAAAGGGAAAACAGCAAGCAGAAGAGAAATTATAAAAATGGCTTAAGATAAAACACACAGGAAGCAAGATAGAATGCAAGGACAAAGACTTTAGTACAGGGTCAGGGATTTAGCTCAGTGGCACCGAGCCTGCCTGGCAAGCGCAAGCTCCTGAGTTCATACAAACAGTGGAATTATAATCTGATAGGAAAGCATATAAAAGATTATTGAGGTTGAAAGAGGAGTAGAGCTTCAAGATCATCATCAGGGAGGATCTTTCTGACAAACAGGTGAAACTTAGACCAATTAAAAATTACTTAAGCATCTATAGCAGTGATGGCAAACCTTTTAGAGCTTTCAGTGATGCAAACACTCCACTCCAACATGCATGCCATAGGTTCACCACTACTGATCTATGGTATTACAGTGGTACTGCATTAGAAATACTGATTCACATCTGTCTCTCCTACTAAAATGTGAATTCCTTGCAACAGAACTGTAACTTTCTCAGTTTTTCCTGGTACAAGGTAGACACCCAATCAATTTCTAAAGATTAATGAATAACTAATCACTTCTTGGCCTTTTGACTAAGATCAAGTGAAAATTAATGAATAATTGTGACTCATTTCCTTACCAACTTCTATCCAAATGAATTATTACCAGTTAATTTAATTGGAACTTTCTTTGTTAAGACAGAACTAGATGACTTTTTTGTTTTCTTGGTTGCTAAGATCTGCTACTTTAAATCCAGATATGTATACCATTCTATTCTTACTCAAACTGCTTGCTTTTGATCCTGTGGGCATATTGCATGTATCAAAACAACTCCCAGGACATTTTTAAAGTGACCTTTAAAAGTTCAAATTAAATATAAAGACAAATCCATGAGATTTTCATCAGGAAAAGACAATAAAAAATAAAATAAAGAAACTATACTTATCCAATAAAATTGTAATTAGCAATACTTTTGTGGATACATGTATAATGTCCACTTAGAAAGTGATGGAAAGGATGCAGGCACTGAAAAACAAAGTCACAGTTGAGATTATTATATTTATTTCACTACAAAGATACCATAATTAAAGCAATATATAACATGAATATTAGTACCTCGAAATTCCTTAAGCATAATTTCATTTGTTTTCAGTTGCTCAGTACATGCCAATGCTCTGTTTTGAATTCCTTCATACTCTCTTTTCTTCTCATAATAATCACGTGAAAGGGGTATTTCTGAGTATTTTAGTTGGTATTGCTTTAAAACATCTTTATACTGACTTATATAACCATGATACATTTTTCTGTTAAAAGAAATGATGTAGAATAGACCCAAAAACATAGTATCACTTGTCAAATCTACTAAATTAAATATAAAAGACAAGTCAAATATCTGCTTATTTCTACTTCTCTCAATAATAGCCCTCCAAACTTTCCTTAACCCCATCACACTTCTCAACTAAGTTCTTTTCCTCCATTACCTGTGTTACTCCCTAATCCTGTTCAATTTAACTTCCACTCACCTACTGTTCCTTCCAAGGTCATCTGCAATGTAATTTGTCCAAGTGAATGATCTATTTTGCATGCTCATCCTAACTGATACTGTACAATCTATTTCTTCTGGTCACTTACACCTTTCAGAAGTTCTCCTTGGGTTCTGAATCTCTCTACTGTCCCCAGTTCAGCTACCTTTACAATCATGTCTTTTTAATCTCTTTCAATTTCTGTAGCTAAAACTATTACATGAAGTAATATCCTATGTGTTAGAATTGGGGGTTCTAATCATTCAAGTATATTCTACAACTATTTTTATGAAGAAAATTTTAGCATAGTTTGAAGGAACTCCTTCAGATCAACTCAAGTAGTAGTGGATGACCATCTAGGCACAAATCTCGAGTGGAACATTCTTCAAAAAAAAAAAACCAAAAACCTAACCATTCTCTTTTATTTGATCCAAAATTCACTGGCAAAAGGAGTTAGTTACTACAATCTACATGCCAAATTTATTTTACCATCTGTTGCTGTATGGTATGTAATCTAAGAACAGCTTTTACATTTTTAAATGATTGAAAAAACTCAAAAGAAGACAATTCCATGATCCTTTAAAATTATATGAAATTCAAACCAGTGTCCATAAATAAAGTTTTATTGGCACATGGCTCATTTATTTGCCTATTGCCTAAAAGTGCCTTATGCCACAACAGCAGTGTCGAGTAATTATGACAGTCCATATGGTCAATAAAGCCCAAAATGTTTACTATCTGATCCTTTACAAAAAAATGTTTGCCAACCCTGATTTAAAATATTGAAAATATTTAATCTAGCTCTTTATAGAAACATATATTTTAAGTCCTCTTTTTACCCAGTTCTTATAGTTTTAAGAAATAATATCCACAGTAAACTTTTTAAAGACATAGCCATTTATATTAGAACAAACATTATATTCTTCAAGATTTTCTTATTTCTTGGATCAAGATATACTACATGGGGGAATTTATTTTAAATTGCTGTAAGGATTATTTACCTCAGCAGATGAAAAATGAATAATAAGTATTGATAAACTCCTGGTTTAATCAGAAGAAAAGGCTAACAGTCTGAATCTTAAGAATCATCTAATTTCTTAATATTACTAAACTCTGTCCCCGTTAGCAAAACAAAGGAGTCCAAAATAAACTCCTATTCTTCTAAATGTTCATTTTCTAATTAAGATCCCCCATATTTATTCTGTAATAAGTTGGGAAAATAGTACAGGGAGTAGGAAAATAGCTATATGAAAAGCAGACCTGGGTCCCCAGATTCAGAGGAGACTAGCATACCATATCCATCCTGTTTATATTGTATATTTGTGCCTACCCTTCTAACATGCTTCATGTAGGAACTCTAGCTGAGCACAGTATAGCTAAGTAATGACTCAAGAAGATCACCATTATTATCTTATCTGCTGCTAGCAACACTAATCTTTATGAATGCCTGGGATAGGGGTAGGGATGGAAGATCAGAAATAATCAGCTGGTGCCTCTACTTCCTTAGTTACCACTAACACCAACAAATGAATTCTTTTCTTTTTAGAAATGCCTGGTATTGAGTCATCAGTTCAATTCACCTATGTGACTGCTTTAAGAAACAGGTGTTTCACTTCAATGCCTGTTTAGTTCAGAGAAGTCATCTATAACAAACACTGTCACGGAGGTAATATTTGGACTGGTTTGCTTTAGCCTCTTACAGAATAAATTTTAATAATTTAACATTTTAAAATAGCCATGGCTTACAGTAAGAAATATCATAAGCAGTTATATATATTGTCCTTTGTGGGGAAGGTCATTGAAGATACAAACTACCAGACTCCCCAGTTTCCCCTTTACGATGACCCATGGGAAAAAATTTAAGTCTCAGGAAACACTTCTGCCTATCCTAAGCAAATGAACTGTTTTTTAAATCAATACTCTGAATCCCAACCTGGTCACATTTCTACAATGCTTCAACTAAAAGGAATTTCAAAGCCTAGTCTGCACCTAGTCTAACAATTGCAGGACCACAAAAGATTAATTTTAAACTTGAGCAAAGGCTTCCTAAATTATCCCTACTTTCCTGCAGCCTTGATATTTACATTTCGTGGGTTTTTAAAATATATAATGGTATTATTTGTACAAATCATCTCAAATTCCCTAGCGAAGGAAGCAAGATCTATAAATGACATCCTAGCAGTCTCTTTTACCCTTCTAACTTCTGGTCTGCTCTTTGGATGATGGTGTACTTTGCCTTTCTCCTCTTTATGCTCCATCTATTTCCCTAGAAAATCTCATCTATTTCCATGATATTTATTAAGAACAATCTTCGGGCAGGGGATTTAGCTCAGTGGTTCCTCCACCTGCCTCGCAAGCACAAGGACCCGAATTTGATCCCCGATACCATAAAAAAACCCCAAAAGAACAATCTTTAACTTTAGTCCCTACCTTCCCTTAAGACTCAACTTTGACAATAAAGGACTGGAGATATTTTGTGTGTTTTAAAAATTAAAATATAAAAATACACAACTGTTCTCATCCAATTATGTCAAAATTCATTTCAATCTTTAGGTGAAGTTTTAATGCTATACATCATGTTCAAAGTCTCTCATCTTATTTCACTATATTCTCTAATTACACTTAATCTCCAAGACAATGTGAATGTGCAAATAAACCCACACAAGCATCAGTATTGTTTCATTAGAATAAACCTCCACTGGTACAATCAGCAGTCTAAAAATGGAAATTTGATATAATTTTTTCATAAGCTAATTCTATTGATAATTATTCCCCTAGATGTTTGCTTGTAACTGCCCAGTCATAATTGCTGCTGAGAAATAGTTTATATCTAAGGCAAATCTAAACATATCCAGGGTTAGAGATTTATAACAAAATACCTCCAAAGCTATACAGAGTCCAAATTATTTACTTAAAATACAAATTTTCTACATTTTTAAGTAGTTATTGTTTGAAACAGGGTCTTTCTCTGTAGTTTAGGCTATCCTTGAGCTCATTATGTAGCCCAGGAGACAATCCTCCTGCCTCAGCCTCCTGAGTGCTGGGATTACAGACATGTACCACCATGCCCAGCTTTAAGTAACATTTTTACAAAGTCTGTTTTAGTAATACTAATTTACAGAATGCTTATTCTATATATAGAATGCAGAAAAATGCTTATAAAGAGAATATAGAAGAATGCTTAAATCAATACATATATATATATACTGTACTTGTCTTTTTCAATGGTTTCTCGATAAATAGTAAGTTGGCCCTGCATATAATCTTCATGTTTATGAAAAACATCACATGTTGGCTTCCAGCTGTAGAAAAATTATAGTTTTATTTAGCATCTCAGAATGATAGACAGAAATAGTTTTAAAATGTAATCATTTAAAAAGAAATAAATCTCTCTTCCCAGAGAAAACAAATTTACAAGAAAAATTTTTCCATTTACTATCATCCCCACTACTATCATTCATGTACTTATATACTCAAATATTAATATTAATTTACATGAATTTTTGAGAGATGACTAAGTAAAGAGCAAACACAGTATGGCTAGATTGTGTATTGCCATAGCATTTCTATTACACTTTCCAATACTCCAACATCAGATCTTCTTTCTCATCATATTCTAAGATCTTGACTAAGAAATTTGTTTGGAATAGGCATTGAAAAAGCTTGAATAAAGGCAAAAGAGAGACTATACTCTCTTCTGACATGTTGGCTGTTACACTTTCCTGAGCTACAAAGAAAATTTAGCCATAATTAATTATATAAAATAAATATTCATCCTTTTTTTTTTTGAGACAAGGTCTCACTATGTAACCCAGGCTGGCCTCAAACTCACGAGAGATTCTCCTACCTCAACCTCCTAAGTGCTGGGATTACAGGCATCCACCATCATGCCCAGGTGAATATTCATCTTACCCATTTTTGTTTTATTATATAAGTTGAGAAAAATTACCAACTGGAAAAATCTAAAATTACTATATACTATTCTAAGTATTGTTTGAATATTTCTTCTTTTTTCTAACTTTTTTTCCAGAGTCAAAGAGTAAACATGGCCATTCTGAAAACAAAGTATATACTACATAAGAAAATAACTATAACTCACATTCTCAATATTAAATAACTACTGTTTTCAGATTTTATGATATTTATAAATTTAATGTCACTGAAATCATATCTACATATGACTTACCCTTTATCATTTACTGAACAAAACTTGTACTTTAATATTTGTCTGAATTTCTGGCTATGTCTTTAAAAAATTCTCCAAAATGGAATAGGAAAGTCAAAGATTATACATACAGGTATTCCGAAAATTTAAAAGTTCCATAAGACGTGAATGTCTGCTGAGAAGATAATCTTACAGTGACATGCATTTTGATGTACATCTATCAAGATTTTTCTAATTAGATATATAATTATGAATTGGTTTCATACTATGTTTTATTATCCACTTTGCCCAATTTGTAGTACTGTGTACTGTTAACATCTTTCCATGTCAAACATACACCTATATCATTATTTTATTGGCTGCCTAGTGTTCAATCATACACCAAAATTCATTTAGCCAATCCCCTTAATACTGAACATGAGACTTACTTCCAATGTTTTCCTATCATTAAAAAGGCTGAAATAGAATTTTTAAAATTCAACAGCAAGAGAATAAACTGATTTTTAAAAATGGGCAAACGAGGGCCAGGGATGTAACTCAGCAGCATAGCGCCTGCCTGGCAAGAGTGAGGTTCTGAGATCTATCCCTCGTACAAAAAAAAAAGCAAAGGACCTAAATAGGCATTTCTCAAAAGTTCTTTATCTTGAAAAATTTTAGATTGCGCCTGGCATGGCAGGACCCACTTGTAATCCTGGCACGCTGAGAGGCTGAGACAGGAGGATCACAAAATTCCTGGAGCAACTTAATGAGACCCTGTCTCAAAAGAAAAAAGAAAAAAGGACTGAGGATACAGCTGTCAAAAGGCCATGGATTCAATTCCCAGGACTGCTAAAAAAAAAAAAAAAAAAAACCTAATAAGTTGGATTATTTCACACAAAACTAAGACATTAAAAGGTCAAAAATAGAAATTATTTCAAAAATATCTATTAGGAATTTTAAAACTGACCTTACATTACATTCAAAAACTGTAATCAGACTAAATCTGAAGTGGTAAAATCTTATAGCCCTTACTTTTTCTCTTGAACCTCCTGTGATCCCTTTCTACAATGGGGTGTAACCAGGTGATCAATGACTTGATTCATTATTTTGCTAATATGGAGTACTATCTTGGGGCTCCGGATATAGCTCAGCGGTTCAGCATATGCTTAGCATGTGCAATAGTGCTATCAACCATATACTCAGAAACCCTGAATAAAGGAATCAAATGACAATTACTGGGAGTTTCTTTCTTTCAAATACTCACTCACTACAGCTGTCTTTGATCTTCTCACTATGTTTACAGTAATGAGTAATCTCCTCATCTGTTTTATTTATACTTTTATGTATCTTACAAATTGTTTCTTTGCTTTCTTTAATATCTTCAAGGCATTCTGAAAAGAGGATATATATTTTTTGTTTAAAGTAGAAATCATAAGTTCAAAATAAATACAGTAGAAAAAAAAAGTGTATGACAACTTATGTGTCCCTACAAGAAAGAGAGCCAGAGAATGGAAAGTAAGAGAGCCATGAGACAAAAAAGCACTTTATATTAAAAAGCAGAAAACCAGAGCCAGTCCTGATCCAAGATGCAGATATGAAGGATTTATGCTTCAGGTTGAAGGGAAATAAATGTCTCTCATCTTTGACAGAAGAGGGCTAGACTAGGTGATATTTAAGGTCAATCTATTATAATAATCTATGCATTCATGCTAACTTTTACTCATTAATGCTACTAACATAGGCTATATTCATCAACTCCATGTCAATTAATTATTAACTATACCTTCAATCGTTAGTAGTAATCAGAGATAAAGAAATTTCTTGAAAAGATTAATTCATAATACAAGTTAACAGTACTATTTTTATAATTAAAATATTTTAAGAACTTAAAATACTATATTTAATTAGCCTTGCCTTTCACTCACACTATTGTTTTTTAGAATTATTATTCTTGAAATTGTCGCATCTATCAATCTTGGTCCCTGATCTTTGGTACTTCTATAGAGAAAACATTTTCACTCAAATATTTGAGATAAACTTGTTATTTGAGAAAAATAGTATTTTTTAATTGCATTTAAGGCGTCAGTTCGGCTTAAAGCAAAACAATTCACAAAATAATCAAATGCTGAATGTACAAATTTATTGTCTGAAATAGCTAATAACCATTTTGCCTAACATAAATAGCTCAGTATTAATTACTAGAGAGAACTGCCACAAAAGTATATTGCCAATTGTAAGCTGCCCTTACATATTAAGCTATATGCCATTAAAAATATTAAGACTAAAATAACCGTATCATGTAAAACTTACTATTAATTCTTTGAATCGTATCTTCTTTAGTATTTAGTTCTTGCTGGTACTGGAAAACTGAAACAATTTTTTTTGTGACTACTTCATTGTTAAAATGTCAAGTGATAATACAGTTACCTATTCCTTTAATTTTATACCTACCAAATTCTAACAAAAGCCTGTCCAACCTAGCAAATAGGCTGTCGTTCATCTTGGAATCTATGTCTAAAAAAATAAAAAGTGAGATTTTCAGCTGTCTTTCCGCGCACACAAGGGAGCCTCTTGAGTGCGCTGCGCCCGCGGGCGGGACGGGGCCCGGGGACGCGCGGCGCGCCCTCGCCCTGGGAGCTGAACGCGCGCCTCGGCCAGGTGTGAGCCACTTCCGCTTCCGCATAAAGCCCTTCACCCTCGGCAAGGTGAGGTCCTGAGGAAGGGGCTTCCGTTCACAGATTTACCACCAGGGACTGCTTTAAGTGGAGTTTCTCCCACACGCAGAACGGAAGGCCCCCACCGGCGCTCGCGTCCCCGCTCCCTCAGCCGGCCTGGCTCGGCCTCCCCTCCCAGCGCTCCCCGCGGCCCTCCATGCCCTCTTCAGGGCGAGCTGCCCCGCGTGGGTCCCGCCCGGCCCACCGCAGCGGGCCCTGAGACCCAAACCTCCGGGCCCCCTCTCCCGGGGTGGGCCGGCGACGCCTCAGCGGATCCCGACACCTGGCGCTGCCGCTGCTCCCGCCCTCACCCCCTGCAGCCAGCCTGGGAGACCCCGCAGAGCACGCGGGGCAGATCGCGCGAGGAGCGAGATCCGGGAAGCCCTCGTGCACGGGCTCCTGAGCAGCGCCGAGGGGGTGCGGGAGGCGTAGAGAGGGCGCGGGGCGGACTGGGGCGAGGGCGTGTGTGGGACTCTGCTGCTCCCGTGAGGAGAATGCTTCTTAAAGCCTCTGCAGTACTCTCGGAACGTTTTTAGATATTTTAAAAAATATTTGAGAGAATAGCAATAAAATTGATATTAACTTTTAAAATGACAGTAAAAAGCGACTAATAATCAAAATTCAGTTTTAATTCAACGTTTTCCAGAACTTCTTGAAAAGCAAGTATAAACCCAATGCACTTTCATTAAACATTTTGTTTCAAATCAGATTTTCTGTCTAAAAATGTTGATAGATGATTTTTCCTCTTGAACTCCGCGTATCCAAAGTGAAAGAGTGGAGAAAAAAGTAAATATTTGGTCCCCAAATTACTTGTGTGTGTGTGTGTGTGTGTGTGTGTGTGTGCTGTGGATTGAACCAGAGCCTTGTAAATAAACATGCCCTCTACCTCTAAGCTATACCCCTCCTCAATTTTTTGTACATTTCTCATGGAAATGTTTTTAATTCTGAATTATTTCAATAATTATTTGAGTCAACACATCCTAAACTTTCACATATTAAAATGAAAAAAAAGCTTTCAGAAGTTTTCTTAAGTTCAGATGAGATTAGCATAATCAATTTGATTATAACATGCTGTAGTGTTGTTCATTAGTATTAAGCATAGTGAGCCATGAAAGCTAATTTGTTTCGATGGGGTAAGAACTTAGCCTCCTTCTACATATGTGAAAATCTTTCTTATTTTTCCCAGCTTTATGGAGGTAAATAAACAAAAATTGTATATATTTACAGACTATAACAAGAGTTGGATGTATACATTTTGTGTTAGTTCATTTTGTGACACAACACCACAGACTGGGTATGTTATGAAGAAAAGAGGTTTATTTTGGCCTACCATCTGGAAGTCTAAGATTGAGAGGCCACATCTGGTGATGGCCTTCTTGGTGACAAAGTCTAGTGACAACAGAAGCCATGACATGGCAACAGACAGCGCAGATGTGTTTGTCTCTCTTCTGGTCTCACCCTCTTCTTGAAGAAACACCAGCAATCAGTCATAGAGGCTCCATCCTAATGCATTTATCCAATCCTAATCATCTCCCAAAGACTCCACCTCTAAACACATAGTCAAATTAAATCTCCACCTTTCTTAATACATCTCAATGGGGACTGAATTTCAACACAAGAAGGCTTGGGAGAAACACTTAAACACTAAGTCATAGCCATTATGAAATGATTATTACAAGCAAATGTAACACATCCACCACCTCACATTACTATCATTTGTATGTGTGATGAGAACATTTACAGTATACTCTCTTAGCATATATCAGATGCACAATATTGTTAACTGTAGTCACTGTGCTATACAGGAGATCTCCAACACTTGTAGCCGTCGACTAAAATCTCCATTATCACCTCCCACGCCTTCCAGCTCCAGCAACCAACATTCTTCCTGCTTCTATCAATTCAGCTTTGTAAAATTCTATGTGTACCTCAGTAAAAGAAACCACCAATGGAGTGAAAAGGAAACCCACAGGGTGGGAAAAAAATTTTGCCAGCTGTTTCTCAGAAAAGAGCTAATATCTGGACTATATAAAGAAAATTAGTCCTCCCAAATTTTAAGACCCAATCCAAACATGGCCATCTGAAATGAACAGACACTTCTTAGAGGAAGAAGTACAAATAAATATATGAAAAATTGTTTAACGTCACTGGTCATTCAAGAGATGCAAATTGAAACAACACTGAAATTCCATCTCACTCCAGAGAGAATGGCTATTATCAAGAAATCAAACAATAATTAATGCAAGTGGGGCTGTGGGGGAAAAGGAATGCTTCTACACTGTTGGTGGGAGTGTAGACTGGTGCAACCACTGTGGAAATCAGTGTGGAGATTCCTCAAAAAACTAAAACTAGAGATTCCATTTGACCCAGTTATTCCCCTTCTTGGTATCTTCCTGAAAGAATTAAATGCATCATACCACAATGATAAATGCATATCCATGTTTATAGCAGCACACTGTAATAACTAAATCTTGGAAACACCCTAAATGCCCATCAATAGGTGAATGGATAAAGAAAATGTGGGGGGTTTTTAATACAATGGAATACTGCCCTACTATTAAGAAGGATAAACTTGAGACATTTCTAGGTAAATGGATGCACCTTGAGACCATACTCTTAAGGGGAAATAAATCAGACACATATGTTTAAATATTGCCTTATTTCTCTGGTATGAGAAGCTGAAAGAGTAAATAAGGACCAAAATGTATAATAGATAATGGGAAATAGGAAGAAAATGTTCAAATGGGAAGGGGAACAAGGGAAGGGGGAATGGGAAAGGAAGGAAGAGAAAAGCAAAAAAGAATAGGAGGAAAAAATGGAAACAAAGCTTTTGTAAATAAGGAAGGGAAGATGGGTTGAAGGGAGAGGAGGGAAAGGGGAAAAAAGAAGCAAGAGATATCATGTACAAGTACAAATTCCCTGTAATGAATGTAATCATTATGTATATCTAAAATGTACCAATAAAATTAATTTTAAAATAAATAAAAGTCTACATGTAAATAAGAATACCAAATATTTGTCTTTCTGTGCCTATCTCATTTTCTTAAGCATGATGTCCTGGATCATCTATGTTGTTACAAATGATAGGAACTTCTTCTTTTTAAAGGTTAAATAATATTCCAGTGTGTGTCCATATGTGTATGCATTACATTTTCTTTATCCAGTTATTTGTCAATGGACTTTTTGGTTGATTCCACACATTGGCTATTTGTGAATAATGTTGCAATAAATATGAAAGTGCTGATATCTTTTTGACATACTGATTTCATATTCTTTGGATACATATTCAGAAGTAGGATCACTGGATCCATTATAGCTCTATTTCTAACTTTCTGAAAAAGCTCCATACTGTTATCCAATAAAGGATACAGTAATTTACATTCCTATTCATAGTGTACAATTTTCCTCTTTCTCTACATCATCAGCAACACAAAGTATCTTTGTCATTACATTAAAACCAGTGTGAGGTGATATCTCACTATGGTTTTGACTTGCATTTCCCTGGAGATTAGTGGTTTCACTCAGCTTTTATTTATCTTAAAATCTTTTATTTATTTTGCCTTCATTTCTAAAAGATACCATTGCTGAGCACAGTAGTTTTGTTTGGGAGTTTTCATCCTTCAGCACTGTGCATATCTCATCCTACTCTTTCTTGGCCTGTAACATCAAGAAATCTCAGCAGAAGCTCAGATATCTGCTGTCAGGAAAATTGGAAAACTCATGTGTTACTTCTTTTCTCTTGGTATTCTAAGAAACTTCCCTTTGTCTTTAACTTTTGAGAACTTAAAGATAATATGTCTTGGGGGACACTTGCTTGAGTTGAATCTCCCTGGTGAACTTAGACATTCCCATTTTGAACACTTCTGTCTCCTACGTTTGCAAAATTTCCTGTTCCTCTTTAAAGAAGTTTTCTACCACTTTGGCATCCTCGAGTCCTTCTCGCACCCCAGTAACTCAAAATTTTGCTTTTCTGATGCTCTCCCAAAGTTATCATAAACTTCCTTCATTCTTGTTTTCCATGACAGTTAATCTTGACAGTCAATTTGATTGGCTTGAGGAACCTAGGAGATTAGTGAAGCACACTGTGGGGTGTGTCTGGGTGAATCATGGGGATATGACCTTGGGGACACATCTGGTTGCTGGCCACTTCCTCTCTGGTGCTTTGTCTCTGCTTTGTTGATTCTCAGCTGCCATGAGGTGAGCAACCTTCCATCGCTATGCTCTTCCACTCAGAATGTTACTGCCTTGTATCCAGCCAAGCATGACTCAGAATCCATGAGCCAAAATAAACCTTTCCTCTTTTAAGTTATGTATGTCAGGTATTTTGTCTCAGCAATATAAAAGCTCACTAGCACAGAAAATTGGCACCAGAGAAGCAGAGCTGTCCTTTGACTATACGTGGTCATGGTTTGTAGGAGTTTGAAAAAGTTAGGAAATGATAGCTAGAAAAGGTCTAGATTGCTGAAAGCAGTGGTCAATGAGCAATTCTGGTAGAAGCTCAGAATACTGATAGGAATATGGTCAGTAAATATTGTGCTGACGAGGTTTCAATGGGAATGATGATCATACTGGGAATTGGACCAAAGGCTATACATGTCACATTGTGGCAAAGAACTTGTTTATGTTTTGTCTTTGCCCTAAAACAGTGATGGCAAAACTTTTGACGACAGTGCCCAAACAGCAACCCAAACCCAATTATTTATCACCAAGTGCCAACACTGCAATTACACCTGAATACTGAGGTTTTGGTTTAGAAAAAACAACTGTTATCTGATGCTCAGCTGCTGGGGTAACTGTTCTGCTCATCAACAAGAGAGTGCTCTGCATGCCTGCTGTGGTACACAAGCCGTAGATTCACCACCACTGCCCTAAAACTTTGTGTGAGTCTGAGTTTAAAGGCAATGTAGACTGCAACAAGCAAGGCTATAGGGGTGGGGTTCTCCAAGCCTTTTGGTTTTCACATTGTCCATTATGTGGGTCAAATGCCGGACATAGAGCTACAGGGCAATGTTTATCCTGCTTGGTTTAGATCTTTCTTTGGTCCTATTCTTTTCTATTTTCTATTCCTCCTTTCTACAATGGTGATGCTTACCTCAATCCACTGTATCTTGGGAGCATAGAACTTGCTTTTTCATTGTCATAGGAGCTCACTGCTAAGATTTTGCTTTGAGTCTTAGAGAACAATTTGGACTTGGGCTTTTGAGCAATTCTGAAACTACTGAGACTTTGAGGAAGGAATTAGTGCATTTTCAGTTTTTTGCAAGACAGTCACACCATGCTAGGCAGAATTATGACTTTATTGTTGGTTTTACTTGGAGATTAAGCGTGGTTTAAAGTGCTATATTTGAGTGCCAAATATGTGGACTGTGATCTTTAATTTTGATTGTTAACTTGACTGGCTTGAG